AATTTTATTCGAAATTGCTCGAATTGGCTTTTTTCGAAAGTGGAGGGGGGAAATTTCATTTCTTTCTATGGATTTAATTGCGAGTCTTAATTACTTGTTGGTGATGATGATGATGATGATGATGCTTTGCTTCGTGGTACCAATTTGTAATGACCATTTTTTGCTGTGTTTTTTGTGATTCATTTTTAGGAAAAGAATTAGAAAACTCGTATAAATAAATGTATATGTATTCAGGAATATATATATATAACACACGCTCGCTTTCGAAAGCTGGTTTTCGTTTTCGGTGTCAGTGTCAGAATTACATATATGGCGCTGTGGTTTACGAGATCAGTCAAGGGACAGGATTTATTTTTATACTAATGCCATTTTATTCAACAAGGCCAAGTTTACCGGTTAGCAAGGTTCTTTACCATAAAGAGACATATTTTCCTTTTGACCCTCAATTCAATTAAAAAAAACCCCGTCCCCACTTATTTTTTGATTCTACCCCCCTCCCCCCTGACTACCAGTTTAATTAAATTTTCTTTTATTAATTTTCCCCAACAATCACAATTATTTTTAATATTTAAAAGAATTTTTTAAAATTTCTGAAAAAAATTTATTTTGTTTTTAAATTCAAATTTTATTACCATGATAATAATGTCCCTGAAGTTGGCGTCGACGCTAAGTGTCAAAAACTATTATTTGGCGTCTTTAAAGATCGATAAAACAATAACTTCATTTTTTTCATTCAATTTGGGAATTAAGATTTACCAGGTTTTTGACTTAAAAATTTTGAAACAAATTGTTCCATTTTATTTTTTCTCTTTTTGGGGGAAAAAAATTTTTTTTTTTTTTGATTCTCAGCTTCAACGGACTTTGATTGATAATTTTAATAATATTGAATCAATTTCTGAAATTTTGGGGAGATAATTTTTAGAATTTTTATATACTGAATATATTCGAATATTTTCTTAGAACGAAACACTTTTGTTTTAGTGAAAATAAGAATCGGAGTAATATTGATTAAGCATTTTGTGGAGATTATTTTATTTTATTTCTCTCTCATTCTCTCAATTTCGTAAATCGTCGAAAGGATTGTATTGTGTCACGAAGCGATTCGAAAAAGCACAGGACGAGAAAAAAAATTATTATGTGAAACACGAAAAATCGCGTGCAAAGAGTTGAACGACTTTTTGGCCTGAAAATAGTAATTCCAATGCTAAAAATATAATAATTTTTAGGGGGGAAAAAATAAAAATACAATACAATAATTATTTCGGTCTGATTTTTTGTATTATAGTAATTATGTTAATTCGTATTTTCTTTATATTTAAAAAAACTAAAAAAAAGATCATTTTTTGCTTTTTCGAGAATTTGCAATTACATTAAATTCGACAATAGTTGAAATAAAAAAAAAATTATTCACAAAAGTTTAAAAAAATTTTTTAGAAATAATTCAAGAAATTTCAATAAAATTCTTTGGAACGTATCAATTAATTTTTGAACATTTTTCGAAATTCAATTATTTTTAATATTTACTATTTTCATAAAATTTTCCAAAAGAATTTAATTCTAAATAATCTTGAATACTTTACAAACATTCAATTATTTAAAATACAATTTTAAAAAAAATTTTCTATAATATTTAGTTATTTTCACAAATAATAAAATTCTTCAGCGCTGAAATTCAATTATTTTCACAAATAATAACATATTTTCCACGGGAATTCAATTTTAAAAAAATTCGCTAAGATTCTTGGCAAATATTTAATTATTATATAATAAATACTAAATTTTATTTCCAAGAATTCAATTATTTACAATTTTCATAAAACTGTTCTCAGAAATTCAATTATTTAAAAAAAAAATTTTTATTTTCTTGACAAAAATTTATTTATATAAAAAGCTGAAAATTCAATTATTATTTTGCTGAAATTCAATTATTTTTACAAAAAGTAAATTTTTTATGGGAATTTAAGTATTTAAAAAAAATTAAATATTTCTCTTCGCCAAAATTCAATTATTTTCAGTAAAAATAAAATTTTTTACAGAATTTCAATTATTTAAAAAAATTGTAAAAAGATTCGTCATAAAAAATTCAATTATTTTAATAAAAAGCAAAATTCTTCTCAGAAATTCAATTATTATCGCAAAAAATTAATTTTTTAATGGGAATTCAATTATTTGAACAAATTTTAACTAAATTCTTCGCAAGAATTCAATTATTTTATAATAAAGTCTAAATTTCTTTCCCCAAAATTCAATTATTTACAATTTTCATAAAACTCTTCTCAGAAATTATATTATTTAAAAAAAAAAATTTAAGAAGACTCTTCACAAAAATTCATTTACATAAAAAGCTGAAAATTTAATTATTATTTTGCAGAAATTAAATTATTTTCACAAAAAGTTAATTTTTTTATGCGGGAATTTAAGTATTTAAAAAAATTAAATGAATTTCTTTTCCGAAATTCAATTATTTTCACTAAAAATACAATTTTTTACAGAAATTCAATTATTTACAAAAATTTTTTAAAAATTCATGATAAAAATTCAATTATTTTATAATAAAAAGCAAAATTCATCATAAAAATGCAATTACTTTATATTTTATAATAAAAAGCAAAATTCTTCTCAGAAATTTAATTATTTTTACAAAAAAATAATTTTTTTAATGGGAATTCAATTTGTTTGAAAAAATTTTAACAAAATTCTACGCAAGAATTCAATTTTTTTTCATAAATAATAAATTTCTTCTTAGGAATTCAATTACTTTTAAAATTGTTTAATAACATTATCGTTTCAAGAATTCAATTATTTTCATAATAATAATAACAAAATTACTTTCAAATTTAAATTGTTTTTAAAAATTGTAATAAAATTAGCAGCAAGAATTCAATTATTTTAATAAATAAAATAACTCATCTCCAGATTTCAATTATATTTATGAATTTTTAATAAAATTAGTTGCAAAAATTCAATTATTTTCACAAATAATAAAATTCTTCTTCGCAAAAATTCAATTACTTTAAAAAATATTAAGAAAATGTTCATTGTTCGTAAAATCAATTATTTTCGTAAATAATAAAATTTTTCACTAGAATTCAATTATTTAACTAAATTTTGTTCAAATTCTCCGTAAGAATTCAATTATTTATAAATAATAAAATTCTTCTCGGAAATTCAATTATTATTGAATATTTTACGAAAATTCGTTGTAAGAATTCAATTATTTTCGTAAATTATGAAATTCATTGTACAATTTCAATTAAATTAAATTATTTTTAAAAATTTTGATAAAATCCTTTATAAGAATTCAATTATTTTCGTAAATTATGAAACTCATCGGACAATTTCAATTAAATTAAATTATTTCAAAAATTTTGATAAAATTCTTTATAAGAAATTTAATTTCAAGAAATATTCAATTATCAATAAATTATTTACTTTTGTACTTGAATAATTGAATTCACTTAAAACTTTCTAAGAAGAATTGATTTAAAAATTGAATTTTATGTTACATTTTTAGATAATAATAGAGTATTAGAAGCATTAGTTCAATTCACTGTTTTTCTGATAGTATCAAATTGATACCAATCCGGATTAATTCGATGCGAAAAATTTGAATCAATTTATGATTTGATCCATACTTTTAGTATCAATTTGTTTGCTATTTGATACTTTCAAGTTAACAGCGCTTTTTTTTAAAGTTATGCATATTTTACCCTCGCGTTTGTTAGCGTTGAAGTAATGAGGCTAATTAATTTATATCGGTCCTGATTAACTCATGTCAGAATGTAGACAGTTTTGCGTCATTTATAATTTTGTATATAAAACCCCTAGGGTTCGATGAACTCTTCTCTTAAAACATCATATAATATTACTTCCGGTGTGTATTCCAACAGACGGCGCACAATCATTTATTTAAAGCGTCTCTATAAATAATTTATATTCTAGAATGCCCTATAATTTTATGGTTTTCTGTAACGAGGTCGTCTGCTTATTTTTCACTCCTGATGAAAAATGCCCGCATTCTCTCTATTTAAATACACAATCATTGTTTATAGTCGAACAACCTTAATTATTTATTCCACTGACAATTTTATTCAAACTATTTTTAGTTGGGAAATCTTTTGTTTGCTTTTAATTAGAAAATCTCTTCTGTATTTTTAATCTCTTGTATAGTTTCAATTGGAAAATCTCTTCTTTATTTTTAATTAGAAAATCTCTTGTATATCAATTGGAAAATCTCTTGTATTTTTTTAATTGGAAAATCTTTTCTATACTTTCAACTAGAAAATCTTTTGTCAATCAGTTCTTTATTGTAATTAATAATTATTATTTCTTGTAAATTTCGCTCTTTTCTTTCGTGTAAAATTTCTTTTCTTGTATTCTATTGTATTCTTTCGGAAATCGAATGGTTGTAGGTATTCTCACTCTTTTGGGGGAAAAATTACAGTAGTTTGGCATAACAAATTTTTTTGAGTACCAAAGATTCTTCAAAAACTTTATTTAGTTTAAATTTTAAAATACAATCCTTCCTCTATGAGGAAGCAATATTAAAAATTATTATGGCCTATGGTAAAAATTTAGTTTTTCTGCGGATATTAAATTGAGACAAACAAAGAATCAAAATCTCAGTTTTTTAAGGATCTCAAAATTGAGACAAAACACAAATTAAAAGTGTTGCGAAGCAACATTTGCGATTCGTTGTTTGTCTCAATTTTGATATCCGCAGAAGAACTGTGTAATAAAATACAAAAAGTTATTAAATGTTAATTAGAAAACTTGATTTTTGAAATGTTGCTTTGCAGCATCTTCTGCTTCATCGAAAAATAAAGAATTTTTGAAGAATATTTGGTATTGAAAAATCATAACCGAGTGATGGCATTTTTGATAAATAGTAAATTTATTGCGGCAACTGACAAATTACAAACAAAGAAATGAACTAACAAAAAATTTTAACAAATCCTTCTCTTTCTCTCCTCTCTCTTTGATTGCTACGATTGTGACAGCAAACACCAGACGAAGAGCAGCTCCGAACAGAGGACAACGACGACCTCCAAATCTGAGAGTTGGGATAAGACAGAGACCTCGAAACCAACGAGGTCCTCTTTCGACTGTTTTAAAAGGTGACACTTTCACACGCTGATCACAAAATTCCATCAGCACCTACGATCGTCATTAGTCTCTGATTTTCGCACCAAATCTTTATTCTGATATATAGAACACGTCTTGATTATATTTGTGGAACGCGATCTGGGTTCTTTTCAAATTCTCTTTCTCTTTCCCTCAATCCTCTTTTATTCCTCTCCTCTGCTTCATTTCTGCTTTGCAAGTTTCTATTTTTTCACTAATCAATTTATGAATTATTTTCCATTTTTATCATCTTCTCATTGAATTTCTGTTAATAATTTTTTTTTCATGTTCTTTCTTTTTTGTAACGAAATTATGAAGCTGAAACTACCAAGTTGTACCGACTTAATTTTTTGGATATTAAATTCTAACTTTTTTTTTGAAGATGTAAGTTGCATTCTTTAAAAATTTTATGTTTAAAAAAATATTTAACTGTAAAATTTAATTTACAAGAAAAATTAAGTGAATGCGTTTCAGCTTCATACCGAAATCGAAATTTTGTAGCATCCCTGAATATTTATTCGTTTTTAAGTTCCATTACTAAACAAAAGTATATTTGTGGTACTACTTTGTTGGTTTGAAAGTTTAAATCATTTTTTTTTCTGTAAAACTGTTTGTTAGAAACAAAATCTCATTTGTTTGTGAATTTGATTTTGTAAAAATTGTTGGTTCATGTATGTAATTTATTTCTCATTTTTTATACATGTAGTATGTATAGTTTAGAATTTAGTTTAGAATGTAGTTTTTCGAAAATTAATTTTTTTACTCGTTGAATCATTTCATTTTGTGTGTAGTATATATAGTTTTGTCTGTCGTAATAGTTCTCGCATATTAATTTCAGAAGTAGGATTTTTATTTTCGCAAAAATCAGGAATCATTTCCGCACCATCAGAATTCCACTGTATGTTATTAACGATTTTGGGACTTTTTTTATAGTTTTCATTTCAGATGCGCCTTTTCGTTTTTCTCCATTATCGATATTTCAGTTTTTATCGCATTTCAACATTGAATATTCAACCTGGTATTAGGATACATTACATTTTGTTGTATTTTCTTTTTTTTTGTATTTACGGACATTTTTTACATTATAGTTTCGATATAGAAATCATAAAACTGCATGGGAAGTGAACAGAAATCACTTCTGATTTCTGTTTTAGAAAATAGAATTTTCCTTTTTTTAAATTTGCTTTTCACAATTTCGGAAGAGGATTTTAATTTTAATTTTGAATTTCCGCAGTACCACGACGCAAAGCAACCAAAGTCAAAACAACGATTCGAACACCTGGTTGGATGGCTACAACAGTCCGCTCATTCAGGATGAGGGAAATAATAAAATGCTTAAACTCAGATTCGACGTCTCTCAATATACACCCGAGGAAATTGTCGTCAAAACTGTCGACAACAAATTGCTGGTGAGTAATCGAAGAAATTAACTTTTATAAAACAAATGAATCTCTTATGTTTGGAATTTATTGTTCCAATAGTGATGGACACTGAATTTTAGCAATACTACAATGAATACCGAACATAAGAGACTTGGGGTTCAAAAATTGTTGGAATGGTTTACAAGTTGACGGTATTCTAAAATGCTGTCAATGAACTTGAACAAGTGGATGAATCTGTAAAGAGTCAGACTTAACACTCGAGAATTCTTGTTCTTGTTCCTAGACTCGACCGCATGACAAGTGCGGCGATCTATCATCACTCGCGACGCTTTGGGAAACTGATTTTTCGATTTACTTTGAAGTAGCTTAAAATATCTTTAAAAAAAACTTTAAAATACTTTAATGTAGCTTAAAATATGTTAAAGAAACTTATTTTCGGTCAAAGTTACCGCCGATTAAAATTATCTTCGATTAAAATTATTGTTATGATCTTATGATTAAAATGATCTTCGGTCAAAGTTACCGCCGATTAAAATGATCTTCGGTCAAAGTTACCGCCGATTAAAATGATCTTCGGTTAAAGTTACCGCCGATTAAAATGATCTTCGGTCAAAGTTATACCGCCGATTAGAATTGTCTTCGGTTGAAGTTAAAATAAAATAATTTAGTTTGAACTTTGAATTAATATTTAAATTCTTGTTAAGCATTTAAATGTTAAATTATTAAGCGTTAAATGTTAAAAATTAGAAATGGGAAAGAATTTAAAACGTCGTTTTGAATAAAATGAAAAAATTAGCTTTCGTAGAAGATCCAGAATTCCGGGGAGTGACTCCAAGTCGTGTGGTTCAATTTTCAAGGCACGTCGTGTAGTTTAGAGTTGTCTGCAGAAATAGCCAGCTCCAAAAATAAGTAACGCTCGTCGTCGTCGTCACACCGACGAGTCGAAATAGTGTTGGCATTGTATAAAGAAGCTCTGAGAAATTCGCTTTTCGTATATATCCTAGCTCTCTAATTCTCTAATTTACAAAATCTAGAATTTTGACGAATTTCTACTTTTCAAAATTAGAAACTTTCCTTTCTTTACCAAACCGTTTTTACCAAAACATATCAATTTGGAAATAAAAATATTTGAAAATTTACTCATTCTCGAGTATAAATGGCAATTGCTGAAAAAATATTTGATTACAGAAACTTTATAGTGCCGTAACAAATTCGACATTTAGGAAAGAATGTTAAATTAGAAAAAGAAATTTGTAAAGTGTAGTAAAATTGTTTTTATTTTCGTAATACTTGGAGGAAATGAGAAAAAGTTTATAGTAGCTGTTGAAGAATGCATTAAGTTTGAAATTATTACGTTTTGAATACATTGAATGATGTTATGCAAGATGGACCAGATATAGCTTTGGTGTCAAGTTGTGCAACTTGAGGCAAAATATTGGAATGAATCACGCCAAATAACTCGTTTCTCTAGCTCTCTGCGAGAATTAATTCTGTAAATGCTACACAACTACATCGTGGAATTGAGAATTCTAAGTCGTATTGTCTTTTTAATTGAAATAAATGTTCAATATTAGTCAAATCCTCAAGAAAAAGTAGCTTTTATTGTCACAAATCTAAAAAAAAAGTATCCAAATCGAAATCGTGAAAAAACAAGGTTGCCACAGGTCAGGGAATTCACAGGGCTCGGATTGTGCGACTTTTTCGACTTTTTTTCGACTTTTCTAAGGAAATGTGACTTTTTTCGACTTTTTTGTGAAAAAATGCGACTAATCGACTTTTTCGAGATTTGTTTTAAAATGTTTTAATAAAATGCGAATGAAATTTAAAATTTCTTTTTAAATTTAAAGTAAAAAGTTTGAGTCAAAAAAATGTTCTGTTACATTTATTTATTTACAAATTTCTTTCAAATTTTTCGAAAACATCAATAACTTCTTTTTTAAATAAATATTTAATTATAATTTTTCCATAGGAATTAAAATCCTTTCAAATATTCAAATTCAAAACTTTTTGAAATTAAACAACTTATAATAATTAAAGATGACCGAGTGATAAAATCATTATAATTATTATTATAAGACTTTATAAAAAAAATATTTTTTAATTATTTTTTATGCAAATAATTGAATTATTGCGAACAAATTTATAAAACATTAGTAAGTAATTGAATTTTGTAGAAGAATGTTGATATTTACAAAAGATAATTGAAATTTTAAGGAGAATTTAAAAAAAAATTCTGAAAATAATTGAATTTCTGAGAAGAATTTTATTACTTTTGAAAATAATTGAATTTCTGCCGAAAATTTTATTAAAAGTTATGAAACTAATTGAATTCTTGCAAAGATTTTTATTAATAATTGAAAAAAAAATTTATTTCCTGTCAAAAATTCAATTAAATTTTTGCGAAGAATTTTATTAAAATTCCTTAAAATAATTAAACTTCCGCGAAGAAAATTTTGTTAATTATGAAAATAATTGAAATCTTGTAGAGAATTGATTTAAAATTTTTGAAAGTAATTAAATGTTTTCAATGAAATTTAATTAAAATTTTGTATTCAAAATAATTCAATTCTTATCATTAATTTAATCAAAATTTTTCAAAATAAATTGAATTTCTTGAGAAGAATTTTAGTAATAATTGAAAATAATTGAATTCTTACGATAAATTTGATGAATTTTCGAAAATAATTGATGTCATGCGAAGAGTTCAATTATTTTCTGAAAATATTTCAATTCCTTTCAAGAATTTTATTAATTTATAAAAAAAAATTACTGCCAAGAATTTTAAAGTTTTTTTTAAAAATAATTAAATTCTTGTAAAAAATTTTATTAATTTTAAAAAATAATTGAATTCCTGTGAATAATGTTAGTAATTTTGGCAGATAATTGAATTTCTGCGTAAAATTTTAATAAATGTTTTGAAAATAATTGAATTATTGCAAATATTTTTATTTATATTTCAAAATAATTGAATTCATAAGAAGAATTTTATTTCAAATTTGTGAAAATAATTGAATTTTTGCGAAGAATTTTAATACTTTTAAAAATAATTAAATTTCTAGGATGAATTTTATTATTTATAAAGATAATTGAAATTTTGACAAGAATATTATTAAAATTCTTTAATAATAATTGAATTTCAGAGAAGAATTTTATTATTCACAAAGATAATTGAAATTTTGAACAGATTTTTTTTTTAAATATTTAAAAGTAATTGAATTTTGCAGAAGAATTTTGATATTTATAAACAATTGAAATTTTGAGGAGAATTTAAAAAAAAATTTTGAAAATAATTGAATTTCTGTAAAGAATTGTATTATTTTTGCGAAGATAATTGAATTTTGCAAAGAATTTTATCAGAACTTTTGAAAACAATTAAATTTTTATGATGAATTTTATTATTTATAAAATTTTGAGGAAAAATTTAAAATAGTTTTTGAATATAATTGAATTTCTGCGAAGAATTTTATTACTTTTGAAAATAATTGAATTTTAAAGAAGAATTTTATTATTTATAAAGATAATTGAAATTTTGACAAGAATTTTATTAAATTTTTTTTAAATAATTGAATTTCGGAGAAGAATTTCATTATTTATAAAAATAATTGACATTTTAAAGAGAATTTTTTTTTTTAATGTTAAAATTAACTAATTAAAATTTTGCTATGAATTTTATTTAATTTTTTAAAATTTTATATCGGATTGTTTGATATTAATGTATCTGTTGTTGAGAAATGTGATTTTTTTTTTACAATTTTGACAATTTCGTGTTTCCTTTTTGTCGTTTTTTCTAAAATTTCATGCGACTTTTTTCCGACTTTTTTTTGGAAATTTTATGCGACTTTTTGTGACTTTTGTTGTAAATTTATGCGACTAAAGCGACTTTTTTTGAGTCTTAAAGACGATCCGAGCCCTGAATTCAGGAAAAAGTCTGGAAAAAAAATGTTTGTAACAACCCCAAAATAGTAGTAGATAGTTTTTCGAAAATAAGGACAAAAATTTAAGAATTCATTATTAATTAAAATTAATAATGTGAAATTAATGAAGAAAAAAAAATGAATTTCCGGTTGAGGCTACTGCCTTAGATTGTCTTTATCGAGCAAGTTGTCAACCGTATCTTAATGGCTTTGGAGTAAAAAATACAGGTGCAGGATATTTGACCGCACCCACCAAAGAGCAAATGATTCTCGTTCGTGTGAACTGAGGCGGGGCTTCTGCCTCTAATTACATTACGTAAACGACTAATTAGCAAGAATCTCCGTCACTTTAAATTCCCAATTATTCTCCCCTTTAAATTTCAATAATCCTCCCAACGCTCTTTTCTAAATTTATCAATTTTTCTCTTGTTAAGACTCTCTTCTCTCGTTATCACTCTTAATAACGAGACAACTATTATTGACTATAATAATTATTATTCATTAAAGTTTTCTTAATTTTTCCGCAATAATGGTTAAATTTTCCAATTATTTTGTCCAATAATTTGTAATTAATTTTGACAATTTTGACATATTGTTATAGATTCAAAACTCTTCGATTTTTCTGCAGATATCAAATTGAGACAAAAAACGAATCGTTTTTTGTCTCAATTTGATATCTGCAGAAAAATTATGTTCCAATAAAAGGAAAGTTGCATAATAAAAATCTGTTAGAAATGTTTAAAGATTTATAAGGTTATTTGGAATATTAAACATCAGAGAAATTTATAATTGAAGAAAGAGGGAAAAGGGATAGAGTTTTTGATAATAATGAATAAGGAATAAGTTACAGAGTTTAGACTCGAGTTACTCATTTCCGCCTTTATAGCAATTATCGATCCCGAAGTTGGTCGTAAAAGACCAAAAGCTAAAGCATCATCACGCGAACCCATGTGCGACTCGTTAAAGGTAATCCTAGAACTCAGACGACAGAAAGGAGCCGGAGGTTTTATAGACTAACATATACAACGGCAATAGTGAAAGAACATGCGGAATGACAACTCTTGTAATTCAACTCGCGATCTAACCTTTTCTGGTATCACCTTTCCATACACA